GAGGCCCTGAGGGAGAGTGGTCGAGGGGAATGTTCCCAGATGCACACCTGGCCTCCCTGTACGGGGCCAGCCCCTGCTGCACCCTTAGGTCACAGGGATGCTCCCTCCCTAAATGCAGGACTGGGCCTCCATGAGGGCCTGTGTGCCCACCTCAGATGGACTGGCAGAACCACCCAGCGGCAGTCAAGTTCAGGGCCCAGCAGCCATGCTGGGAATAAAAGGGTCTCGTTCACCGCCCAGTGAGAAGCAGGAGGCTCGGTCTTGCTTGGGCCTCCGTGGCTCAGCCAGTCTGCTGGTGTGTGTCCGTGTTGCGGGCAGTACAGTGATAAGGGTGCAGTATCTCCATACCCACTGGTAAATAGCCACTTAAACCTCCTAAGTGTCCCCAGCTCTGTCTAACTCCTGGCACTGCGGGGTGTCCAGACCCCACCCAGGCCTGGCGGGCAGTGGTCCGGAGGTCTCTGCTGTGTCCTGGGCAGAGGGAGGTAGCTCCCTACCCCTCCTGTAGAACCAGTTCTTTCCCTCTCTTCCAAGCCCCTCCGAGGGTCACACCCCCTCACCATTCTTCCATCAGAGGACTTCCGGTTTTCAGGTCGAAAGAGATTCTGTGTTGGCTCTCTCCCTTTGCACATAACTGTGTTCCTGAATGGTGACTGAACAGGACCTCTTGTAGCTTTAATCCTATTGACTATATAAGGGACCAAGCTATTTTAGGAAACTCAATGAAGACTTCTTTGATCAAATCAAACATGGGTATCCTCATGTATCCTGGATCAGGAAACGAAGTCTGTAATTCAGTTGAGATGCTAATTGAGCAGCTGTTGTGTGCTGGCAAGGTAGAAAGCAGGACCCGGCCCTTTCGTGACCTTTTTACCTGGCTGAGCCTCTTCCTTTGACTCGGAGTTGCTTCCTGAGTCTGCCTCTTACACAAGGCCCCACTGTGGGCCTGTGCGACTTGTCAGATAAAGATAGCCACGTGGCCAGTGAGGATGTGCAAACAAAACAAGACTAGTCACCACGCTTGACAGTGTTTCGGAGGGTGGGGCAAGATAGGCTATGATCAGGGGACACGTGGATGAGCAGTGTGGATGCTGACAAATGCAGAAGAGCGCTTTGTGCATTGGCTCAGAGTATGGAGAAACTGAGGCACAGAGAGAGCCAGTGACCCAGGGGTGTAGCCGAGGCCACCACGTTCCTGGTCGTTCTGCCTGCTGGGGGCTGGGGGCGGGGGGCTGCTCTGGTAGAGCTGAGCCCCCTTAGGGTCCCACCCTGGGAGGGAAGGGAGCCTCCTGGGGCGGGTGCTGACTGCCGCTCTCTCTCCCCCCCACAGCCTGCTGTTCACCAAGGTGAAGCTGGAGCAGGTACTGAAAGGCCCAGAGGAAGCCCTCGTGACCTGCAGACAAATGCTGCGACTGTGGCAGGCCCTGTACAACTTCTCCCAGCTGGGGTGAGTGGCTGTCATTGTCCCTCGGGTTTGCCAGAGTTGACAGGCAAGTGGTTGCCAGGGCAACCACCCACTGCAGAGTGGCCACATGCCAGGTGGATGGGGGCTGATGAGAATGTTTGAATGAGAGTGTGGGACTTGCTGCTCCTGGGGCCTTTCACATCCCTGGTCTAATTTTAACCTTGTGACAATCCTCTGTGAAGCGCATAAAGAACCTATTTAGGAGACTGACGTTTAGAGGGGTAAGAAGAAAGAGAAATCATTATTGAGCATCTGGGCTGGGTCCTGGGCTTACTGCTCCATCTTCCACGTCAGCTGTTTATAGCTTAGACATTACTGGATTTTATTCTCATCCCAGAGGGGAAACTGAGACTCAGAGACCTGAGCCACTTGCCTGGTAGATGGTAGTGCTGCGGCTTGAACCTGAGTCTCCCGAGCCACAGCCTATGGAGCCTGACACTTGTTTCCTGGTTCCATTTGAAAGCCAGAAGAGGAAGCAGAATTCTGGACGACCCCCACTACCCCACTACCTCCCCTCCCCCACCCCACCCCCACACACACACTTACCCACTATCTCTACACATCCTGTCTCCACAGCCTGGGCTCTGGGTTTTTCCTGGGCCAGAGCAGGGTACTCTTGTCCAGGCTGAAGCTGCAGAAAGTCTTTGTTCAAACCCACTGGGATGTTGGAGTTCAACCTGTGGGCCCAGAGTGGGAAAGCGCGTCATGCAGGGCAGTGCACTGCCTCTTCCTGGTCCTGTGGACGCCACCCTTTCCCCTTCTCTGGGACTGCTGGCTCTGTCCTCTCCCAGGGCCTCAGGGGAACCCAACTCTAGAGGATGTGTTTGGCTTGCACAGTCCCCAGAGGCAGGTTGCTAGCGGTGGAATTTTCAGAGGAGGTCCCAGCGTAATCCCATGGAGTAAAACCCTTGGTCAGGGTGGGGTCAGCCTTCTCCTTGCAGCCTTTGGGTCTGGAAAATTCCAGAGCAGAGCAGGATCAATGGGTGGAAGCTTCCAGATGAAGGCTCTGGGTGAGGGACTTTCCAGAAAGGAAATGGGGAGCTACCTGGATGATGTGAGGTGAGGGCCAGACTCTAGTGTTCAGATGCACCTCACTCTGCAACTTACTGGCTGTGGCCACTTGGCAGGTGCACAACCTGACTCCCACCGCCCCTGGAGCTGGCAGATGGCTGGTTGTCTGCTCATCAGGCCTCTTGACACTGCAGCCTTGTCTTCAGGCCCAGCCTTGCTTCCCCCTACCCCCACCCCCACCCCGGGCTGAAGCACTATGAGATTGCGGGGTCAGTGGGGCTTGCCTTGGGGTTTTTTCAAGCCACCACTGATACTCATCTGCTCTCTGATGAGCCTGATAGAGCTCCTTCCCTGAGCCCCCTTTCTGGAGAACTTCAGGGTGGGGTAGGGCTCAGCCAGGCTGCTACCTGGAGACAAAAGGTTGGGACCAGAGGCCTGGATCCAATACCTTCCAGGCTTTCCCAAGAACAGGAAACATTCTTTCCCAACCTGGAGCCACAGTGCAGAAACTGGGGCTTGTGAAATCTAGTTGGGGCAAGTAGGGATCAAGGCCAGAATCCACAGCCTGAGGGTCTGGCCTACCCTGTCCCACCTCCTGCTTTGCCCCCGCATGTCCACGCTGCCCCTCAGGCCCCGCTCAGATGCCCCTCCTCAGGATGCCTCCAGTCACCCTGCCTCATCCTCCCACCCTCTCCATCTGGGTCCTGCTGATTGCTCAACCTTGACTTTCTCTTCTCCCCATCCAGCTGCCAGATTCTTTAGGGCAGGAGCAAAGCTGTATATTGGCCTAGAACCAAGTGGCAAAAGGTCCCCGAGATGGGCTGTTTCTGGAGCTGTAGGAGAGGCCCCCTCAGAGGCTGGGAGGGCAGGTGGGCAAGAAGTTATATTGTGGATCTTCTCCACGTCAGCAGATGCTGGGCACCTGCCTATATTATCTCATATGCTTCTGACAACAGCCTTGTGAGATCGACATTCTCACACTCGTTTCAAGACAAGACAACTCACCGTGAGAACTCACCTTGAAAGGTGGCTTTGCCGAGGGTCACTCAGCCAAGAAGCGGTGGCCCTGTGGTTTTAACCCAGTGTCTCTGGCACCACACTCGGTGCCTCCTGGGAAAGGGAAGAGGGTGGGAGAGGACAGGAGCCAGCCCTGACGCACTGTGCTTTTGTGGGTGGTTTCCTCCAATGCCCGCAATGATGGCTATGCAGCCACAGGCCCACGTTTGGGCTGCTGTGAGTCTGCGTTAGGATGGCGAGGGTGCCCCAGGCTCTGGCATTTTTTGTGGGACCATCATCTTGGCACCCCTCCCAAGGGGAGAAGCATCCGGGCTGTGCCTGCCTTCTCTCTCACCCCTTCCACCCCGGTCCTCCTCAGCTTCCCCAGTCAGAGGTTCAAGGGCCACGGGCATCCCTGGCAGTGGGCAGGGAGAGCTGAAGGGCACAGCAGGCTGTGCTGCTTTTCTGAGGCGAGCGGGGGCTTCCCCCGCCTCCCACTCTAAGAGGAACCTCCTAGCAGCGAGGGAGCTGCAGGGACCTGGGGAATTGGGGTGGGGGAGGGGACTAGGTCACCATGTTTGTTTACCTGCCATGCCAGGGGCCACCTTTGGCTCTTCTGAGGCCACCCTGGAAACCAAGGTAAGGTGCCTGAGGCAGAGTGGCACCTAGGCCTTCCTTCCTGGGGGAGATGGGCTGGTGGCCCTTGAGAACCAGGCTTTCCTTGGAAGCCAGTCCTCAGCACCTGCTCTAGACCTGGCCCTCAGCTGGACATTGTGAGAGCAACGAAATGTAGACAGGCCTCCCCATGGCCTGGGAGTGCTTCTGGCCAGAAAGGGAGAGTGTCTGACCCTCAGCATCTGTTGTGCGGGGAGCCATGCTGACGGAGAACAGGGACGGAAAGCCTTGAGGGGCAGGGGAGCCATGGGAGGCTTTCTAGACAGAGGAGAGGCCTGGGGATGGGGGGCTGAGGTGGAGGGAGACGTACAGCGAGAACACTGTTGATGGTCCCGGCACAGGCTCTGTTTGTGGGCCCGAACTCTCAGCCCCAAAGCCGGCCTGGCGGGAGGCTCCCTCGTCCTCCCTGCCGGCCCCCTATGTCACTGGGGCCTGGCCCTCTCTTGCCTTCCAGAGGCCTGGAAAAGGATGGCAGCCTCGGCGAGGGCGTCATGCTGAAGAAGCAGAGTGGCATGCACCTGACTCTGCCGGATGCCCATGACGCAGACTCCGGTAAGAAGGTGCCTGCGGGCAGCTGCCCACATGGGCCCACAGCTCCCTCTCCCAGCCAGAGCACCACCGAGAGAGTGGCCCCTGCCCAAGGGCCTGTGCTAAGGAGCTGCCATCAGGTCTTTCAGGGCCCATTGTGGCTCTGGGGCAGGACGGCTGCTAGGCCTGGGTGGGAAGTGGACAGCTGAAGTGGGCAAGGGAGAGACCCTACCTCCCGGCTGGAAGCGAAGAGAGAGGGAATATTGGGGTGAATGATAGCTGTGGAGCATAGAGGCTACAGCCTGAGGTCAAGGTCCGCCATCCTAGCATCCTTAGCAGGAAGGAATGAGCTGGACTTATATTTACAACTCTAAGCCCAAAGCTGACTTTTAACTGAGGACCTGAATAAAGCAGCATGCATTCCTCAAAGACACAAGAAGAATTAGTCACGGGAATGAAAGTGTGGGGGAGTCGTACTTAGTGGCCTTGCTCATTTTTTCCACTTCTGTGGACATGAACCAGGTTGCGCCTTCGTTGTAAAGTGACGGCGTTGGTTTCCGGTGCCAAGCCCAGCACCTGACTTGACAGGTGCACACGGAGCTGCTGGCTCCCAGGAGAGAACTGTGCAGGAGGGCAGAGCGCCCTTGCAATGAAAGAGGGAGGAGCCACAAACAAATTATTAGGATTCCGTGTGCATTCATCTTACAAACTGAAATCGTCTGTGGTTTGCCCTGAGGTCTTCTGAGTTTATTGGAGCCTTTATTGCCTCTGAGAGAGAGAAAGTGCTTGCATTTCACCTGCATGTGAATTGTAAATGCCAACAGCTCACATATCCTGACCAACCAGGACGTCCCCGCCCCCAGGACCCAGAGCTGCCACAAGAAGGGCTTCTCCAGAGGGCACGGGGTTTGACCTGAGCTGCTACCCCAGGGTCCTTCACAGCATAACCTCATTTTTGTGTAGGAAGCAATAATATGCTCTTGTGAAAACAGCAAAAATAGCAAAAGGAAGAAAAATCACCCATAAATTTTCCACCCAGTCCTTAATAAAGTTCTTAATTCACTTTTTTCTATGCCCATATTTCTTTTTTTATAAAAATGTGGTCATTCTATCTTTCAGCCTGCTTTCTTCACCTAACTGTAGAATCTGGATTTCTTTCCACATCATTGTCCATATCTGTGCATTATTATTTGAATGACTGCATAGTCTTGTATGATTACACCCTCAATTGTTTTTTGGGTTGTTTTTGTTGTTGTTAATCCTCACCTGATGATATTTTCCCATTGATTTTTTAGAGAGAGTGGGAAGAAGGGGGAGAGAGAGAAACATCGATGTGAGAGAGACACATTGATTGGTTGCCTCCCACATGAGCCCTGACCAGGGCCGGAGATTGAGCCTGCAACCAAGGTACATGCCCTTGACCAGAATAGAACCCTGGATCCTTCTATCTGTGGGCCAATGCTCTATCCACTGAGCCAAAACAGCCAGGGCCTGCACTTGTTTTTAATCAGTCCCTGTTGTTGGACATTTGGTCATTTTGGTCAGTGTGATGACAATAGGCAGTGGTAGACGAGCTTGGTTGCCAACGTTTATGATTGTGTTACTTGGGGATAGACTCCTCGAAGTGGATTCGCCGCCTAATTGCCCCCCTGAAGCTCCTCTCCCCAGCTCTGGGTCAGGGGATGAGGTGGGTGGGTCCTCACTGGTGGCTCTGTGAGCTATTTCCCCTGATTCGGTGGCCCTGTCTCCCTCTGGGGCCTGGGATGTGTGGCCCTCTGACTCTGCTGCTCAACCCCTTCCCATCTTGCTCTGCAGGCTCTCGGCGGGCATCGTCCATCGCAGCCTCGCGGCTAGAGGAGGCCATGTCGGAGCTGACCATGCCCAGCTCTGTTTTGAAACAGGGCCCCATGCAGCTGTGGACCACGCTGGAACAGATCTGGCTCCAGGCTGGTGAGTGCCCCCCCACCCCCCAAGTGATGCCCACCCACCTCCCGACAAGCCACCAGGCACTCAGCTGTATCCTGCCCTGGAGAAGGGAATACGGGTGGTAGGGACCCCTGACAAGGCTCACATGGGCCTCCCTCGGGCCTGGCAACCCAGGGCTCTCATTCCAGCTGTTTTTCCTTGGCTTGGCCCAGGAGAAGTCATTTAATCTGTCTGGTCATGGTTTCCTCTCTGCCAAATGGGGACAGCGCCTGCCTATCTGGGAGAGGTTCTCTGGCAGCAAATACAATGGGAGAGGATTGGAGGAAAGGCCACACAGAAGGATAGTTTTAGACTCAACAGCAGGCCCCATCCCTTCTTCCTGCCCAGCTTCTCCTGAGTCAAACTAGTCAGGCTCAGGCCCCCAGAGCTCAGGGAATAGCTAGAGAAGGGGTGAGGTATAGCAGCCCCCAGGAAAGGCATGTCTGGTGTAAAGTTCATTGGAGGCAGAGGGCTGGTTAACAACAGGGTTGCTATTTAAGAGACAATCCCCCTTGACAGCTAATCGGCACGATTGCCACCATAGAGTCTGAGGGTCCGTGTTGGGGAGGAAGAGTTGCAAAGAGCTGGGTTCTAATGCCAGCTCAGTCCTGCCTGTCCTGGGTCAGGCCGTTAGCACAGTGTCAGGCACGTAGTAGGTGCTCAGGAAATGGTGTCTGACTTCTGTCTCACCCACGGTGGTTGTGGACCTGGAGACAGCATGGCACCACCAACAGCGACTGTCCTTGGTGCTTGAGGAAGGAATGCCAAGGAGTGACTCACTGGACTGATGGAAAATTTAATCAGACGGTGGTGTGAAAGGTGGATTAGAGTGAAAAGAGAGAGTCAAGGCCAGAGATGTGCCTGAGATAAAATGGCAGCAGCCACAGACTAGAGAAGAAGGGGAGAGAGTCAGTGGAATCCTGGAAATGAGCCAGGCCCACATGCCTCCTTGTCTGAGATCTGCCCAAGTGAAGCTCCGCACCTCTCTCCCCATTACCCTCCTACCTGCCCCCTTTCTACCCGGGAGGTGGTGCCAGTCGCCCCCGAGGGAAGATGGAAAAGAGACCCAAAGTAGATAATCAGTTCCTGGGACATGTGGGTTTTGCAAGTTAGAGTTAGACTGTGCTTCACTGGGAATCTAAGGTTTCCTGCTGCATGGAGTTCACATATGGACACATTAGTATGCAGGATCCCCCACTCTCCCCACCGCAGCTTCTGAATCTGGAAAAAAAAAGTTGGACCAGGATTCACAGAAAGGCTAGACAGGGAAGCATTTTAATAATGCAGATATTGCCCCAGTTACTATATCAGGGTCCACCAGGATGCCAGGGATGTGTAGGGGCTGTGCTCCACGGTCAACTACTTGCATTTTAAGTAGGACAAAGAATATTGAAAAACAAAGGGGAATCATAGACAAGGCCTCCTCTTAGGCAAATATTGCCCTGTTTTCTCCTAAGACACAGAGCCATCAGGGCTCTGGCGGGATATGCTGGGGGCCTCATCAACTTCAAGGACAACGTCAGTAACACCGTGACCCATTCCAGGGGCTCCCGTGGCCTTTCATTTTAATGAGGTGTCTTGTTTACAGTCATCAGCAAATGAAAATGTTTTTGCATCTTACAAGCCCGCTTGCATGTCGCAGATATGCTCCTTTATGCTAGGGGTGCCAGAATGTTCTGGTAACTCCAAGGAAGGTTAAAAGCGTTCCTGAAGCCTATCATTAAATGTGGGGATATTGCTGTAAACACATGCTCTTCACCAGTTGGCACATTCGCCTTCCTTTCCTGGGCATTATCCTAGACATTCAGCCCACAGCGAACTCTGAGAACAAAATCTGAGTACTCTTAACCGTTGTGCCTGCAAGGGTGGGCAGTGTAGCACAGGAGACAGGTCTGGGTATGTGTGACCAATGGGGTGGCTTCCACAGGGTGGATGCTTCACTTTCTCACGCAGCAGCTCAGAGGTGCAGCCTTGTCTGGGATGGCAGCTCTGCTCTCCCTGAGTCACTCTTATTCCGGTGATCCCACATGGCTCGCCACCACATCCACATTCCAAGGCATAACTGGGAAGAGTGGGAGAAGGGGACACCCCCTTCCTTAAGGACATATTTGCACACATCACTTCCCGTTACAACCCCATTGGTCAGAACTTAATCACATGACCCCACTCCTAGCTGCAAAGCACTGTGGGAAATGTCATTATTCATATGCCCCATTAAAAATCAGGGGATCTGTCACTATAGAAGAAAGGGGGACTAGACTGGTGGACAGCTGCCTCAGCCAGAGGGGAAATGAGAACTTGTCCTAGATCTTCCATTCTGCACATGGGAGAATTCTGGAGCCATCTGCATCCCATGAGCCCTCTCCCCTCTCTGGCCACCACCATTGCCAACAAGCATGTGCTGAGCACCTATTGGATGAAGGGCTGCCAAGAACAGATCACCACGGCAGTAACATCTCCCTAACTACTGCCCTCCCCCTCACCTGACCTGAGCTAAGAGTATTGACATCAGCACCACCACCCACCACCTAATGATTACAGCAGCTGCAGCAATTTTGCAGGAAGGGAAAATATCCCCCTTTATCATTTTGGACTGAGCTAATCTCCCTGGTTTGGTTCAAGATAAACTGCATCCCAGACTGTGTTGGCAGTAAGTTCCATCATTAACCCCCTCTTAGGTTGGGAAATGTTGCATCCTTGATCTCCCTATTCTGATTGTCCTCTCCTCCCCTACCCCCTGTTATCCCATTCCAGTCTGATGTGAGAAGGGTCTCCACTTGAGAGGTGAATTCCAGGAATATTGCCTCTAGCAGCAGGTCTGTGTGAGAATAGGAGAAGCACCAGCCCCATAGATGCTCCAGGATCCTGCGTATCTGGTGGTGCTTTCAGGAGAGCAAGATGGCCCACCTCCCTCTCTCACTACTGCTCAGTCTCAGGAACTAACTGTGCTAGAGAGAGGCGGATGGATGGAGGGAGAGTTCCATTGCCTGGAGCTCTAGGGGCTCATAGGTGACCATTGGCTTTCCCTGGGTTGGGGGAAGTTGGCCCACATCTCAGCTCCCAAATGGCCAATTCACACTGCCTGGGCACTGGTGCCCTACTCTTTAGGTGGCCCTGCAGGTGGAAACTACCCCAGCTGGCAGCTGGGGAACTGGAGTGGGGCAACCAGGGCTGTGTCTAAAGGTCATATTTGTTATAAAAGTATAGTCAAGGAAGAAGCTCTCTTACCCTTGATCCCACATTGCCACCATCCTCATTTCTCCTGGCCTTTCCTTATCTTCTTCACTCTCTCTTCTTTTCCCAGCTCCCACCACCCACTCCCTCCTGCCTTCTGTACCTTCTTCCCAAGTCCTCTCTTCCCTTGTTCCGGTTTTTTCTTCTTCCCGCCTCTCTGTCTGTCATTCACTCCTTGCAAGGTCCTGAGTTAGTGAGGAGAGTGCTCTCGGAACCCGAAATCAGGGCCGAGGGACAGGAAATCGGGGAGCCCAGACCCCTGCAGTCTTCATTCCCTTGTGGCTGAGGCACATCGTGACTGTCTCTGGGTCCTAGGGGCAGAGGGTCTCAGACCAACCCAACATCCCTTTAGACCAGGGGTGGGTAAACTTTTTGACTCGAGGGCCACAATGGGTTCTTAAACTGGACCGGAGAGCCGGAACAAAAGCATGGATGGAGTGTTTGTGTGAACTAATATAAATTCATCAGCTGCCTCCTGCACATCTCCTACTGGGGATGTGCCCACAACCCAGGTACATGCCCTTGAGTGGAATCGAACCTGGGACCCTTGAGTTTGCAGGCCGACGCCCTATCCCCTGAGCCAAACCGGTTTCGGGGGGTTTTTTTTTTTTTTTTTTAGTTTTATTCATTTCAAACGGGCCGAATCCGGCCCATGGGCCGTAGTTTGCCCAAAGGGCTTCTTTAGACCTTTGGATTCTCTGTTATCTCCAGGGCCTCCTGTACGCCCCCTAGTGGGAACAGAGCCCAAAACCGAAACCAGGGCATGGACCCTGACCAGGAATCAAACTGTGATCTCCTGGTTCATAGGTCAACGCTCAACCACCAAGCCACACCAGCTGGTTCTGGGTGTTGAAATGTCCCGCATCTGCTCCATGCTAAGGATGCTTATTCCCTTTAGGGGCAGTTTTGGTGACTCCCCCGGGGCTAAGGTGGATTCTTTTTAGGGCCTAACCTTTACTTCTCTCCTGCTTTGGGGGGGTCAGGGGGAGGGCTCTGTCCTTTCTGAGCTCTCTCAGAGGGTCTCTATCTCGCCTGAGAAGATCCCTAAAAGGCCTAGGCAAGGTCCTGGGCCTCCCTCACCCAGCTCCTCAGCTCATGGCCACATGTGCAAATAGTCCATGAAGAGCGAGTCCATCCCCCAGCCTCGGGGGATGAGGCCTCAGCATTGGCAGGAATGGCAGGAAGCCTGAAGCCAGCTCTGGGTGCAGGGTTAGCAGGATGCCTTAGAAAAAATAATAAAAGGGACTGTTGCAAAGCTCCAGGGAACAGATGTTTTCCATTTGTAGTCTGCCAAGAGAAAGCACAGAGGGGGGAGGGTGGAGAGAGATGGAGGGAAGAGGAAGAAAAGCCGAGGCAGACAGGCAAGACAGGAGGTTCAAAAGCAGGCAGAGAGGAAGATGGGAGAAGTGAGAAAACCAGAGTAAGGAGAGAGAAAAGGAACTGAGAGGCTCGGAGAGGGCCCTCTGACACTGAGGGCCCCTGCTTCCTGGGGGGATGACACAACTATGAGAATTTAAGGAAAATTCAGTACCAGTGAGTGCTCATCGGGCCCTGGTCAGGGGAGGCCTGGGTGCATGTGGGCACCTCGGGGCCCTGGCAGCCAGGGCCTGGGGGTAGAGGAACAGGGCAAGGGTGGGCACAGTGCCATGTGACTGCCTATTTGGTAAAACTGCCCAGGGACAGTGTAGGAGGAAAGGGGACACTGCAGCCCCCAGACCTGTGAGCCTGTCTGCAGGTCAGAGGCCCCGCCCTGGAGGCTGGGCCTGCCAGGGGCTGTCTGCAAGGCCCTCAGGAGACCTCGCTTCTCTGGCTCTGTTCTGCGTCATCTGGTTTCCTGCCTGACTGGTAATGAAGTCCATTGGAGCAAAGCAGCCCTACCTATTTTCCAGGACATGCTTTCTGGTGTACGGCCAGCCTGATGAGGCCCAGGGCCCCAAGGAAGAAAGGAGGTGGGGATCCTGTCATTGAAATCTGTTGATGTCAAGGCACTGAGGAATCCCAAAGGGAGGGACCAGGGACAGCCTCCAGAGATGAAGCTCAGGAGACAGGGCGGCAAGTTGTAAACAGCTTAATGAGCCATGCCAAGACCATGTGGCCAGGTGGACGGGCCTGGCGGGCCTGCTGGAGCAAGGTCTAGGAGAGCGGGGAGCCAGCCTCAGAGCTGAGCTCCTGGCCAGGGAGGAAGCCACCAGGTGGGCTGGTGCAGGAAGGCCTCCCCACCCCCGGCACTCACTCTGCACACTTCCTTCTGCTCCTCCCTCTTTGTGATCCCGGGGACTTCTGCCATAGTGGAGCTGGCCCTCCAGGTTAGCACAGCCCCCCTTCTCCTCTCTGCCAGTCCTAGTGCCCCTGGGCCTTCAGGCCTTAGCTCAAATGTTGCCACCGCCAGAAGACTCCCCTGACCACACCAGCACAGCAGGCCTGAACCCTTCTGAGGCCCTGGAACACTCAGAGTTGCCACTTGTCACTCCACTGCCCGGACTACTCCAGTGGTTTGGTGGGAGGGCCAGGCACACCGCAGGATGCAATTGTTGCACATTGGACACTTAGCTGGGAAGGCAGCCTGCTCAGAGCTCCAGGCTGCAGCCCCAGAAGGGAGCACAGCAGTAGAGTCAAGGCTGAGAGAGCCAGACCCCTGGCCAGTGGGCCAACCCTTCCTGGGCTCACCTCCCCAAGTTTTCTGTCTTGGGAATCTCCAGTTCAGGGAACAAGAGCCTGCAGTTCTCTTTCTCGCCTCATCATGGGAGCCTGGCTCCTGTGTTTAATTAATTCTCATTCTCCCAAATTCTCATCTCCACTGAAGAAAGAGTACCTTGCTGAGAAAGCCCCTGTAGTATTTTAGGAAGTGGCAAGCTACGTGATTACACAATGAGCCTCAGGCAACATTCTTCCCAAGCACCCAAGTGCGTGTGCTGCAGTCCTGGCTTTGGTTAGGCCTCCTTCCTGCTTCTTGTCGGAGCAGGAAGATGGGGTGCCTGAGCCCGGGTTTTCCACCTCCTTCTGGGAGCTTCCTCTGGGAAGTCTGTTATCCAACCCACCCCAGCCCTAAGCTGAACTTGTGTAACCTCAGCCCCAGCCTTTGCTAGGAACAGCCCGGCCCTGCCTCCCTTCTGTGCTCCCATCAGTGCTCCGGCACCAGCCTCAGGAGGGGCAGCCGGGTCCGGGGCTGCGTGAGGCCTGGGTGAGCCCAGAGGCCATGCTGCAACCTCAGAGAGCTGTGTTGCTGCCAGCACCTGCTGTGGGTGTGTGCCCGCGCAGGAGGGTTTGAAATGTGCATTTATGTGGGCTGGACAGGGATTGAAGAATCGGCCCCATTTTCCACTGATCCGGGGACGAAGGCAAAGTGGTTGTGGGGCAAGTTGTGCGTGTGTCCTCTCCTCCTGGCGGAAGAAAGTCCCCCGGAGGGAGGCCAGGAGCTGCTGGGGGCCCAGCCCTGCCTGGCCCCTGCCCATCGCGGGATGGGGGTGAGGTCTGACCTCTCTGCCTGCTTTGTTAATGTGGGGCTCCTGAAAGCACTGCCTCCCTCCCAGGCTTGTGAGGATTAATGAGAGGAGATGCTCACACACTCGGGCCTTGGCCCACAGTCAGCTCTCAGGCCGCGCCGGCTGCTCGGTAGCTGTTACTCTCCTGAGTGGAGCCCAGCTCTGCCCCTTCACAGGGGCTCCCTGGGCCTGTCTCCTCCTCGCCTGCCCAGCCCATCCTTGGCAGGATCACTGGACTCTCCCTCAGTGGGCACTGCCAGCCTCCCTCCCCGGAGACTGAGAGCTGGAGGAGAGCCACCACTTCTGCCTCCATCCCCAACCCCGGACACAATGAGCAGGTGTGAAAGGCACTGGAGACAGTCAGTCATCTGAGCATCGCCAAACTCCAGGAGATGCCACTCATGCCCCTGTGGGCTCTGAAGTCCAGGGCCCGATGCAAACCCTGGCTCCTAACTTACTCTCCCTGCAGCCTCAGGCGAGTTCCCTGCCTTCTCTGTGCCTCCGCTTCCTCCTCCCTGACGCGGAGCAATGAAAGGGCTTGCTCTACGGGGCTTTGTGAGCACTGGCTGAGACGGTCTGTGTGGAGCACAGAGCACAGTGCCTGACACAGTGAGCACTCAGAGGGAGCCTGCCCTGTGCTGGCTCATGGGGATGGTTCCCATCACCTAGACCGGTTCCCTCAGAGGGGCCACAGCCTCTGACTTTTCCACACTCTCACCTCCCACTGTCCTTCTGGTTTCGCAGCTGAGCTGTTCATGGAGCAACAGCACCTCAAGGAAGCCGGTTTCTGCATCCAGGAGGCAGCGGGCCTCTTCCCCACCTCGCACTCGGTACTCTACATGCGGGGCCGGCTGGCCGAGATGAAGGGCAGCTTGGAGGAGGCCAAGCAGCTGTACAAGGAGGCGCTCACGGTGAACCCCGATGGCGTTCGCATCATGCACAGCCTGGTGAGTCAGCCCCACACGCCTGCAAAAGGCCTCAGGCCCTCCTCTCCCCTCATCCCCTCCTTGCCTGCAAGTGCCTCGCTGCCACTGTTCCCTGGTGTCTGTGGGGAGGTGGCTTCCTTGCTGCTCTGCTGGGAAAGGCCAAGCTCCTTCCTTCAGGGGCAGGGCATTTCCCTTCGACCAGAGCCTGCCTGAGCGGGTGAAAGAATCTGGGAGGATCGGGTGATATATGTGTGGCTTTTAGTTTCCATATGGCAGTCTAGCCCCAAGGGGCTTTCACTGTTACACATCAGATCCTTGCCCTGGAGACTCCAGATAACAAAATTCTCTTCTGGGGGGGGGGGGGGGGTCTTTCGGCCTCCCTGATCACAGGGCTGCCTTCCCCATTTCGGAGGAGGTTCTTGGCAGGATTCAGCAGATGTCCCAGGGTAGGCTGTCATTGAAAATGACCCCTGGGACTCCCAATCTCAGGTCATGGGGCTCAGAACTTGGGTGCCTAAGGCTCAGTGGCCTTCCTATGGGAGGTTCGGAGACTTGGAGCAGAATGCTGGTGCTCTTGTCCAGGCCTTGCCATCTCTCTGGGTGATCATGGGCAGGGCAGCCACCTTCTCTGTACCTCGTTTTTACTACCTATGCAGTGGGGTTCTCTGACAGATAGTACAGTGGGCCCTAGGTATAACTTTTCCCCCCTGCCTTCCTTAGCTGCTTTCAGAGAGCGGGTATCAGGATAAATGAGGTGATCTGAAAGAGTACAGGCCTACATAGGCACAGTGGTTTTTAAGTATGATTTAGGAGCCCGCAGTTAGCAACAGAGACTTCCTGTCTCCTTTGAGAGCTCTGAGAACAGCCACGAGAGGCCCACTAGCGTCTGCCACGTGGAAAACACCGAAGGACCAAGGGAATGACTCCAGGAGGCTGCAGGGCCAGCATTGCCACAAGGTTGATTGTTCGGGAGTAGAAGCTACAGGGAGTTAGGTTCCAGCTCAGTGTCAGGAAAAACGGTATAACTCTTAGAAAAGTCCAAGTACAAACTCAGGAATCATCAGGTGAGGATGTAGCCAAGAGAATAGAAGTATCACATAAGGGTAGGAGCTGGACCTGGTCATCTTTATAAGGTCCTTTCTAACCCCGAGAGTCCTTGAAAACAGGTCAGAACGGAGATTCCCCGCTCAGCTATTATTCCCGCCACCTGATTTCTTAAAGGCTTTCTAGCCAAGGCCCAGGCGAATGTCCATGTCAGTTGAGGAAAGCCTGCACAGCGACATCACTCCCTTGCCCATGTTCCCTCCACATGGCTCCGTGCTGCCTTCCAGTCTGCTCAGCAAATGTTTGTTTTTTGCGAGGCACATCCTCCTTCCTCCCACAGTTCAGACATGAGCTCCTCTGATGAATGCCTCCCCGGAGGTCACATCCAGAAACTTGATTAGGGAGGTGGGAGGGAGGATGTGGGCTATGTCATTAGGCCGGCAGCCAGGCAGAGATGTCTGCCTTCCTCGGTGCTCACGGATATGAGCCTGCCGTTCAGATCCTAAAATTCAACGAAATCCAATAACAAGTACAATTTTGAAGTAACGGTGTACCATTTTTCATTTATGCTTATTATTGTTTGTAGCTATTTCCCTGAAATTGAAGCAGTTTCAAAGGGTGAGTTTCCATGGTAACTGAAGAGCTCTAGAGTGGCTCCCTGAAATGGTCCCTTTTCTCTTCCCGGGGTGCCTTGCCGATGTGATGAAATTGGGGCAAGTCGGAGGCAGGCCTGCCATGTTTAAAGTTACCAGCAACCAGAGGGGCTGTCTGCTCCAGCGTGGGCAGCACATGCCCTTCCACACGCTCTGTTCCTGCCAGCACCCTATACATATGCATACAGAATAGCAAATTTCAAGCCCGGGGAAGATTTACCAAGCGCTCTTTTCCCAGAGACACACAGACACCTTGGCAGGTTGATCTTCGGCGTTCCCTAAGCTAGTGTCTCCCCCGTACTGACCTCAGACTCAGGACATCAGGCCTCATCCTGGCTCTGGCCCTGATTCCTGTGGGTGTCTTAGAAAAAGGCACATCTGACTTCAATGCTCCTGATGTCTCCCTTCATAAATGAATAATGATCTGCATCATCCCTAGACCCATGTTCTAATCAAATGAGGCATCGCATGTGAAAGTGCTTCTAAAAATCCACAATGCAATTCAGAGAAGAACAAAACAGCAGCTCTGCCACACTCCAGTCCTTCACCCATGACAGACATTACCAATCAATTGCAGCACTTTTCCCCACTGAGCACAGATGTGACATTGGGATATTTTCCCCATGTCACACCATGACGGCAGCCACTACTCATCGGCCTGAGTCAGCTTGTCATGTATCTAAGGGAGTCACTGTCAAAATAGTCCATAGAGGATAAGAGCACACATCCATTATCTGAGCCTTTGTGAACTCCAGAGGTGGTCCCACCCCCCCCCCCTCTCCCCCTCCCCTCACCCCATGGAATCATTGACAAGGCAGGTTCCAAGGGGGGGGGGCATGATAAGGCCAGGATGTCCTGCATGGACATCTGGTCTTACAGTGCCACTGTGCCTTTGTGAGGACACTGGCTCCTGAGAGCACAGCCACAGCCTGGGCTGGAGGAGTTCTGGTTCCCTCATGAGCCCTCTGAGGTCATGGCTGAGTCCCACTCCCTGAGGTCTGGAAAGCGGAGGGTGAGGATAGACTCTGAGCCTTGCGAGGTCAGGCCTGGCTCTGCAGTTCTTAGCACAGGGTCACCAAACATGAGGAGGCCAGCCTCCAGGCCTCCCTGTGGCCTTTCCCTGGGACAGGCTGGAGAAAGCCTTCAGGAGCCAGGGTTCAGGCATTTCTAAGAATATGAACTTTGGCCCAGACGCAGGTTCTCTCCCCATCCTGCTGCCCCCCCTGCCCTGAATGTGACAGAGACCTTTCCATGGTCTGGCTCTATTCAGGTTTTTCCACTCAGGTCAGGCAGGAAAGAGGCACCTCCTTGGGCGATGCCCTGTCAGGGCAAAGTCTCCACTGTGCCCACAGCGGAGTCCCAGAGGAGTCTGTGTCCTCCAGCCCTGGTCCTGCAGCTGCCGCCTGTGCCAGACTCAAGGAGGCCAGGTTGCTTCGAGAGAGCGCCCAAGTACAGGAAGAGAGAGGCATGCTCTCTGCAGGCGGACATTCCCAGTGACTCTCAGCAGCAGGTCCTGACAGTTTCTGCCGGCTGGGTCCCAGCATCCCCTCCAGGTAGCGGGAAACCCCGCCCACTCACCCTGGTGTTCAGAAGTTCATTTCCTGGCAGAAGAGTCTAGTTAAGCAGGGGGAGCCTGAACTTTACCTGCCTGCCCCTGAGGAGACAGGAGAAAGAAAGCAGGGTCCTTCCCAAGATCAGCAGAGGAGCTGGCCCCTGGGTGCTTTCCAGAGAGGGCTCCAGGGCCTCAGCCAGAGGAGGATCCCCAGGCAGCCTATACCCGTCTCTTTGAGCCTGTCTCTGCCCTGCCCCTCCCAGGAGCCCCTCTGCACCGCCAAGGGATCAGGATGCCCGGGGATGGCAAAGGGCCCACCTGTGGTGATGGACTGGCCACGTCACTGAGAGCCCCCCACCCCCCAGAGGGGTTGCATTGAAGTCACCTGACCTTAATAGGAGGAGGGTCACTAGCCCTGGCTATAGACCAACTCACTCTCCCTGCCCTCCACTTGGCTGAGTGGGAGTGTGGATTCTTTGATGCAGCCTGTCTCACTGCAGAGAAAAGCCTCAGCCATT